ACCCACTACCCCGCTATAAGATAATATATGGCCTCTCGTTTGTTAAATACCACCCAGTTATTAATCATGAACCCGCTTGCAGACTCAGAAACAAAGTATATACATTACTAACGGCAAAACACAAAAAGCAGTTGCGTTGTAATTTCTGGGTGAAACGATACAGTCCATTGTGTAACAGATTACCAGTTACTGCTCTTGACTGTGACACACTCAACAGGTTCAGGAAACTAATAATACTGTTGTTAGACTCCAAAGAGATTTATCAACTATTCCGGCAACTCACACCAAATCCCGAGGCACTCTTTTCTGGTCCACCATATGTTTAGACTAACCTTAGAAACTTATAACAGACCATAAACATATTGCACCTCCATTATCACTCGAGCAAGCGGCACGAAGTAATAGACAAATTCCCCTATTCCTACTAATGGTAGTAGGTCACGCCTTTAAGGCGTTACTCGTAACACTCAGAGTTCCTCATCATAATCTTCTTATCTTTAACAAGATATTTAGTTTTTGTTTCTGGTACATGGACAAACTAAAAGGCCTATAGATGCTGCTCAGCTGCTGTCGATGACAAGGAACTCATACTATCCTGCATCATTTTGAGTTCTTTCTTATTCATGGACTAAGAGTGTGGTGAATTTTTATTTCCGCAATTCATTACCATCCTAACAACTTCCATTCTTATCTATATATCGCCTTAAACTGTTTTTCCTTATTTTTTCGTCTGTTATCTATCCTCTCTATAGAGACTACCTACTAACTGACCGGTATCTTACAAATTATACCATTGGTTAATTTAATATCAGTATGATATGCTACATGGATATATGGGCTATTAAAGAGAAACTAAAGCAGTATGGTTTTTTATAACATGGGACTAGTGAAGACAGTTCACTCGAACGCGACATGTGAAAAATAAAGCTTGGACCATAACACAACAAAAAACCTAACACTAAATGTCCCAGAACCAAACATCACAAAAGGAGGGAGAGTAATGTATCTAACCAGCTTTCATGACGGTGTGGTGATAACATCAATTTTCCCATGCCTGTGTGTCAGAACATTTTGTTTGGTTACGGCTCCTTACGATATGATAGGATGTAACTGATCAATGACATTGATATTACTCTTCCATGTAAACTAAGTCTTTGACTGATGTTTTTAACTTTGTACTGGTTTTATTTCCTACTAAGAAACCCTACTACAAGCTGATCTGGACAGTTATGTTGTTAGTGTTCTTTTGTGATTTCTTAAGCAATCGTATAAAAATATCAATGAAATATCACAAGGGTATCAAATGACTACGCCTTCTTTATTATATTCTGTAGACCAACATAATTTCTAATAACTTAGTTTCCTTATATCTCCTCCAATCAGTCGATCATTAGCACATTCGTTAGCTTAATAGCACAAAATTTAGAGGTGAAGTATTCAAATTTCTCCACAATCGTTCTTTTAACCTCGATATTGATTGGTTGCTGTAGACCTTAAACCTATCGTTGTTTTCATCTTTATTTTGATTGTTTCCGCTTTTTGATCTGTTTCCTCATCCTGTAGTGTGTCGTTTGACTGCGTGTTCTTAAGCTCGGTAATTAACTCGTTCAGACAATCGTTGCCAAATAGCGTCTGACGGTTTATAAATCAGAAGATGAATTCGTAGTGATGAATACGTTTATTCGGGACACAACACAAAGCGAAGCGGAGAAGCAGTGAATAAAACGAATGAAGCGACGTGAACTGGAGAAGGCTTTTGAGCCAACTCCATGGGTTACAATGCGAACAAATGGGCGAAGCGAACTGGAGAACGCTAAGAGCCAACTCCATGAAATAGAGTATGACTAAGAATATATAGTCAGACAAAAATAAGACAGACATATGACAAGCGAAATAGGCATGCACAGACATGAATAAAAGCGACGAATGACTGACAAGGTCAAAGGTAAGCGAGACAAGTCATGTGAGTTCATAGGGGTATTAAGAGCTTAACATTAAAGCGAGAAGGATGAGTCAGCGCGTAGGCGTAAGCAATGCTCAGTCGTACAAGCTCATACAAACCAGACGATAAAAAATACCAATGGGTTGTTGCTATACAAATAGCTTGGTTACATAAGTTAATCGAATGGCGTAATCAAATTAAATATGAGCGAACTGGAATATGTATGGAGGCACTACAATAATCCTACATCGTCTATGATTTTTTGACTGGTTGATAAATTGGGTCAGTGTTGATATGTGAGTGAAACGAGGTAAACCAAAGAACATTCTTGGAAATGGAGACAGATATGGAAAGAATGAGCAATAATAATCATAAGTAGAAAGGAAGGTCCAAGAAAGAGTAGGTCGGAGAATTCTGTAAAGCGGCCGGAACTCCACAGGGAGTAACAGGCATAAGTAACTGAAGAGAGGAAGTGAATACTCGATTTAGATAAAATATTTTCATCGTAACTGATGTATTCGGCCAGTTTATGTCTGCCAAGTCTAGACTGTCGTATTTCCATTTTTGGCTAGCATCGAAAACTACACATGCAAAAATCAAACCCTGGGTACTCGATCTTGCCCTATAACACTTAGTCCTGACACCACTCAGTTGAAATTCAACGCTGTTATTGTCAATTTTAGTTGATTCATTGTCGTACTCAACCTTCCATCTGCTACCTATGGTGGATAGTTACATCTCATCTGGTGCTGTTTGAACTCTACTAATTACGACTGTTTACACGAAATAACGGTGTTATGTCCTGTAGCTATCCACAAGTGCACACTTATTAATGTTATTGTAATTATTGTAAGTCAGCCTTAACACTGTAGCTGTAATCAAATGGTTGAAATACATAGTTCTGTAGGTCTTTGAGAATAATTCTTACCTCGTTAGTTTTACTGGAACAGTCTAGCTGAAGGCTCTCCGTTTCGTATCCATGTCAGATAATCACTGAGCACGCCACGCTGAGCATTTCTGGTATAAACTAGCTAGCTTATTTCATCCGTTTTCGACAACCCCAACTATCCTTCAAATACACACTTGATCTTTTATATTCCTGGTCATTCTTGTGAATGAATTGGTCAAAACTAATATCAAATGTTATCATTACCGATCAGAACAAGACTTTTACAAAAATGCTAGGCTTCATGCATACAGAAATGGAGTCTTACAAACCCAAAGCTAAACAGTGTCCTCAAATTGTTTATTCTCTCCACATTCATTTGTCTTTTCAAGGTTGTGGCTCAAGGAGTCCGTTTATTCGCGTGTTTTGGTCTGGTATGTACGGTGGTTCATAAATAAGTCTCCAAGATTTAGTTTTAACTGATTGTATTATATTTCCATCATTTGGCTGCGTGAATAAAGTGCTAAGGCATTTTTCGCACTTGTGTGGGCATTATCTGTTGTGGTTTATGTCCCTCCTTGAGTTTATCACCTCGTAGTCAGTATGTCGTACATAAAAGTGATTTTATGTAGAAACTTTTCCTATTCTAGTTAATTTCGGTCTTTGAGACGGCTTTGGTTCAATATAATACTACTATCACTTAGTCTATTTGGGCTTCAAAATTTTTGAAAGTGAAATTTCGTTAATCGTTTTTTTTGAGATGTCAGTTTTCTCTTGTAAAAGAGACAAACTGACTCTCCGGAGCTTTTTTAGTTTTGTCTGAGGGTGTATAGTCTTCTTCTGAACTAGCCGATTGAAGGTGGTTAAACCACGTCTTCAGCTAAAAGGTTCCAAAGGTTGACGTGAAAACTTATATTCCACAGGTATTATGTTCTCACTCGGCTTTTGCACTCACCTGCTATATCTTCTGAATTGCCTTGATGTAGTAAAAAGGAAAAGATATGGCACGTCCAAAATCCTTCCTTTGTATTCTACACATTAATATCAGACAAACTCAATTTACGGTAGGATAGAGTAAAGAGTTCTAACTTTTTGAGCCGCCTCTGAGTTCTGGGATCGCACTGTGCATGCGGACATAGGCGATTAGGGGTGTTAACTTTATATCAGTTTAATCGAGCGCAAAGAAATCAATTGGTTTATACTATCTCGTGAAAAAGATATTGGATATTGGAATGTGTAAGGTCTAGATAAAATAAGGATGGTTATGATGATTGGTTGCCAAATGTATCGCATGATAATGGAGTTATCTGCTTGACTTAAGTTGGGTTTATACCCTGGAAAGTTTTAGGTCTCAGTTATAACATAACATGACAAACCGTTCGAGCTTATGCTTTCTTAAAAAAATACCAAATCATTGCAAAGATCCATGAAGTCACTAGCAACTCAGTCGGTCAGTTATAACGTAAAACTTCATACTTACGTACAACAGTTCAAATTGCCATACCACATTAGCACATTAGCTCAGTAGCAAAGCATTCGACTGCATGAACAACTGGACAGCCATGTTAGTAGATATAGACTTCCTTGTTGGGATGTGCGTGGCAATCGTAACTAGAGGTTAGAGATTTTGAATTATACAGTTCAAAATCGTTTGTGATGTTGTAAGTGTATCCATTCTCCTTGCCCTAAATTGTAAGCTGGATTCCTCATAATTTTTATTGTGCTACTTCGTGTATTTATATTTTATTGAATTGTATCTTCGACCTACTTACTGACACTGCCACTACCTCTACTACTCTGGGATTTAACCTAAGAATCTCACCCTTGTGGTAATGGGGTATAGTAACGCTAATTAATGTACGTACTTACCGCGTTCTACGTTTCAGCTCGCTGACTAACTGTGTTTGCAACCAATAGGTAGCGATTTCAGACTTTGCTACACCTATTCTAGCATTAGCGATGGGGTAGTACACTAAAACTCACAATTTCGCTCATAACGGGGTATAAAAACGTGTGCTTGCTAAATTAGTCACATCTACAGAAGTTTTGATTTTCAGTGAAGCCGTAGTACGACTTGTGAGGTAAAAATATCCTCTTCGTTTGAACAGTGCCAACTACTAATCTTTATTTTTCTGCAGATCCTGCTTCATTTCAGAATCTGTCTGTCCCCATATGGATCATAAACTCACTGAAATAACTGAAAATATTAAGCAACGTGGTCGTGAGGGTGCACATCCTCTATTCAAGGAAACGGGTCCAGAATATGTGATGCCAAAGTTTCCGATTGAAAGAAAAGAGATGGAAGACCACATCTTAGAATTTAAATTAGCCCGGTAGGTAAATCTATATTTTCATTGTTCTACTGTTATGTGAAATACTTTTGAATATGTGATAGTTTAAAAATTACCAAAATATGTGATTTAGTTGCTGTAACGAATTGACGTCAGAGAGAAACTGTTACTCCAAGCAAATCGCTTCGTTTATTTTTCCTTTCTGTAAATTTCCTTTTGTTTCGTATCGGTTGTCAAATGCATTCTGAACCCCTCAGATTCACAGCTGCAAGTTTTCGTTATATCGGCTCCCATAGCAGGCCTTTGTCTTTTATTGGGTGTTCACATATTAGTAAATTTGGGGGATGCTGGGATTGGGATTAGTTAAGACTATTTGCTCAGAGCTTATCACTTTTTTCTGATCAGTTTAGTCATATACTTGAGGTGGGTAGCACTTTGCTTGTTTTTACATGGCTTGATTTAGATTATTTGCAACTATGACATACAACTCTGTAAAGATACCACCCATATTCTTGTACATTTCAGTTTTATAGACAGTTGTTTCGTAGCTATTTGAGAGAGAATTTAAACCCTGGCCACAAGTTCTAAATTCTGTAATAGTTCCTGGTGTATTTTGTATGATTGCTTTGCAAATCATTAGTCTATGAAAGATATCGGTTCCTCTCTTTGCGTAGGATGCTTAGCTGGTGTAACTGAGTTTTAGCAAGTATTTCACTACTAGCCACTTAGCTTATTTTAGGTTTCTCATTAGGCAGTCAGGATTCCACAATAATTCATGGGCATTTTCGGTATAGCCTATATACTCCAGTGGATCTAAGATTGCTTTCGAAACTGAATTGGAATACAGTTTTCTAGTGAAGCAATGGTTATTTCTTGTGTTTTTATCATTACTAGTTCCCATCGTTGGTCAATTTATTCATGACCTCTGTAACAAGCTATATCTAACTGTTGCTGCGAATATTTTTGTTTCAGTGCACTCAACATGAGCGATAACGATTCCAGACCTCTTGTTAATGAAGAAAACCATAATCTTACTATTTCGAATGCTTCAGATACTTCTAAAGTCACTAGTATTGGTGACTGCATGTCTGTCGCTGGCTTAACGAATGGTCATGAATCTGTTGTATTTGGTAAAAAGAATATGGTTCGTGATGATCCTTCAAACTCTATATCGCTGCTCCCTGAAAGGTCCGCCGAAAATCCAAATACTTACTCTAGCCATTCTACTACTTCAGATATGAACACATCGTCTCTGGAATCTAATATGCAACCTAGGTTTACTCAAAACAATATTCACTTTCAAAATGAGCCGAACTGTGGAGGTTCTTTATTTCGAAGATTATACAGCGTCCCTAATACAGCTGGAGATGGTTTCCCAATATATTTAGCACCTGCGTCGAACGCAGGTGGATTCACAGATGTAGCTCCAGTGCTCCAAGAAGTAGAAGAAGCAGCTGAGGCACATTTAGAGTCAGCTGCTGTGGAATTTCAGCGTGTTCAAATCTGCGGTGACGATACTCTTGGTGTAAGTCTATCAAATACTTATTTACGCTTGATTATTCAAAGTTATAATAGCATCGATTCGGAACTAGACACTATGCCATTGGGTCGAAGGTTTAAATTCACTCTAAGTTTAACGTTTGAGATAAAGTGGTAGGACTTATGTTAAAATGAACCATATATTGCGCTTATATCTGCTTACTGTTACTTTGAAAAACGGTATTAGGAGCTGGATTTAATAGAATGTATATATTAATAATCTAATATCTTATCACAGGCTAGTATTCGTATGAACACATATATTTGTCTATTTGAAATGGGTATTAAACATCAAATTTGTTATAGTCTTCATGATATAAAGTAAAATTGAGATCGTTTTATAAATTAATTTCTTAAGCTTTCTAACTTAATCTCTCATTAAATGTCCAGATTTGGCATTTTGTGATTCTCCAACCAAACATGTCTAGTCACGTGTTCCATCATCTCTGGGTTAACAAATTTTCTAAAAGTCTCAGTTCATATCTCAAACTGACCTGAATTAGACAACCGCTTTAAAACACAAAACTTTAAATGGATTTTTCATTCTAGTGTGGAACTCTTCAGTAAAGCACATCCACGACCTCACCAGAGATTGAAGCTAAAACCATTTCTGGCAGCGAGCACTGAATTAGTATACAAATGTTTACATTTCTAAACATAGTCAGTCAGTAAGCTATAACGCAGAACTTTGCACGTACGTACATAAGTTCAGGTTGCCATACCACATTAACACAGAGACGCAATTGTCAGTTCAAATCACATAGTGGTAGAGATAGTAGAAGTATTATTGGTACTGGATAAGATTACGGTTTGAAGAAATTATTCAAGAAGTATAATTCGGTGAAATAAATTTAAAAAAACAAAGGTAGAGGTGATAAGGAATTCAGAAGATTAGAATTTCATGGAACGCAACGAGTGGATGCACGTGCGCCATTGCAAACGATTTTGAGCTATATCATTCAAGGTCTCTAACCAATCGGTTAGTATCGTCTCGCGGACCCCACCCAAGGTAGTCAACACAAACAGAAGCAATGAAACTAACAGCAATTTAGTCAGTTTTAGTACACGTGTGAGTTATAGTTTGGTTTTCAGATCGGGCGATACTACTGTAGTAATCTGTTTTAACCAGAGAATTTTTTATTTTTTACTGATAACTCTTATTGTAATATATTTCTGATGCACAGAATACACATTTCTTGACAATAACACTGTCTATTAGTGAAAATCTTATGTTTGTTAGTTTACCTGATGTATATATATATATATATATATATATATATATATATATATATATATATATATATATACTTCTTTACTTATTCCTCATTATCAAAATATTTCCCACCATTTAAGCTTCATTTATTCTACGTTCTTCCTTGATTTCGATGTAGGAAGGTTTATCGATTTTTCTCGACTGGTTTTTACTTGAACATTTTACTGCCCCCAGTACACATCATATCATTCCAGTCACCTCAAATTTATTTATTCCTGATATGTATTATGTATGTCACAGATGGCGTTTAATGTTTTATTTATCTATCATGTTTATCAGTTTTTAATTAACTGAGTCAGTATTTTATCAATAATTTTGCAGAACCAACACGAATTATGATATTTTCTTACCAATAGTGTGATATTATTTTGGTGGGTTTTAATCCTGTCAACATTTATGCTTGAAAATTACTAGCATTTTCTTGTGATAAGTGAATTAGCTTAACAGACAATGATTTATATACAAAGTGTGGCTGTAAACGATATATGTATGAGCATATGCTTTGCTCCATGAGGTGTTAAGATTGCTTGTTATGACTGATTGGTTCAAGCTAAGCGTGAGGAATAAAATTGCTAACCATAGGCCAACTGTTTTTCCAGTTTTACCATCTAAAATAATAATGTAATTTATGTCGCTTTATGTTGGTTCATCTAGGGAAACTTTATTATATTATAGTAGTTAGTTCAATGTATCTACTGTCGAGTTTTTCTTTTTAAAAATTTAAACCTTTTGAAATTCAATCTTCATTAAGTTTTTTGCACATCTATTCTAAATTAGCTTTCGTCGATACATCCACATACTACTGGGATTTCCGCCCCGTCACAGGTAGCATCCATTCGTCTAATAATTTTCATTTCGACATATTTACACTATAATAACATGTTACACTTAATTATCACTAATAACAGTATACTTAATGTTTTGCACTTGTCAAATAGATTTCTCTGAGTGACTAAAATCAGTGTGTGGTTGTGGCTTTTTTCCACATCAGATTCAAGCTACTAAATGAAGTGGAAGTTTCTTATTTTATTTTAACTGGTAAACACTTCCTACTAACAAAATATTATTACTAGATGGGAATAAGTTTGTTTTAAGTAGTCACAGTTTTTATTAATTTTATTAATGAACGTATTTGAACATAATATTGGTTTGCATGGGCACCAAAATAAGAATACTCCACACAAATATTTGAATAAAATTATAAAGATATAAACATAGGGTCGACATGATCAAAAAATAATTTAGTTAGTAAGTCTAAGTGAACAAGAATAGTCTATAATAGGAGAAACAATTGAGATAAAAAAATACTACCACAAAGAATATTTTCAGTTAAGGGAGTTAATTTCGTTTCTTGTAAAGTAAGGGGAAATCACCCCATAATCTCCATTGGTTCTTGAACCATATATGGTAACGTTGCAGTCTCTCGGACCTCAATCAGACAGTCATGATTGATCAACAAATCCCAACCCTATGCCTTGTCCACCCCCGCGCTATGTCATAAACTCACCACCTCAGCTTTTAACAACCGATCTCGCGGTCGGCAAATGAAATGCGATATGAAAGTCACTCAGATGACATTCGTAATATATATCCAAGCTACCAAAGTTAATGTTTCAAAGATGTAGATACTTGGATTATCACTGCCTGAACATTACCAAACCTTTTCACTACCAACATAGTGTTGCCGCTGAATGTCAGTAATCCTTCGGGGACACCGATGATCAAACACAGAGAGTCGCTTATCACTATCAGCTTTGAGGGGCCAAGTTTCACAGCCAAGGAGCGAAATCGCTCCCATCAACTTGCCGTAAACGCAATCTTTCACAGCCATCAGGACGGCTCCAAAGATGGTCCAAACATAGGCTCCTTTCAGCCTTGTAGAATTAATTTGGAGTCAGGTGCAAAAACGTACCGTACCTATGAACATTGATTGCCAACTGAATAAGTGCGATTTGTATATCTTACTTGTCACTGTTCATATTATGAAAATATTGTCAGCATATCCAAAATCGGCAGTGATTCTCCAGCTAACAGATCCATGCCGCCACCACATACTTCCATCAGAACTGTCTCCAGAATATCCTCATTGGCAAAGTCGAGGAGAAGTGGCGAGATTTAGCAACCCTTCCTAACTCCACTTCCCGATCGTTTCAAGTCATCTGCGAAGTATGATGAATGCCAATGGTTTGGACGTAGTTGTAAGTAAACTTGTTCCCCGATACTTGTATTGATGCTTCACACCCTTCCTAAATATATAGATGACGTTGCTCCGTTCCGTTTCTCGAAATTTTTCAAACAACCTTGTCACTCCCCTACCTATAGGTTTCCCACCCTCATAAGAAGTGTTGGACGTAAGTCGTTTGAGTCTAGTAACTTATGATGCTTTAGAAGTTGGAATTCCTTGAGGACCCTCTTTAGGTAGATCAATTGTCGCTGACTCTAGAGGAGAGGACAATCTGACCGATGCTGTTAGGGAAGCGGATCAACGGCACTGTACTTCAAAGAACTCTGTCTGTCGTCCAGTATGTCGTCAAATGTTTTTAATTAGTATCCCATCATCTTCACAAATTGTTTCGCTCATAGCCTGCTTGCTACCAGTGTTTCGGTAAGCTAAAAGTGCTTCTAGTAGTTAATAAATGCATCTGTTGCTTCCAACTCAATAGCGATCTCTGACCACCAGGTTTTTTGGTCCTTCATTCATCTACACTTTTCAGCGGACTGATTACTAGCTTTGAGTGTAACTCGGTTTGATATTTAGTTACAACTGGAGCTTTAGCCGATTTTCTCATGCTGGTCAGTTTAGGACAATAAAGATGTCCCAAAAGAAACGACAATCTTTTAAAAGGCCACTTTAGCGGTAGCAAATCGCAGCGATCATCTAAATTCTGGCTTGTTTCTATGAGGGAAGACGCCAGGTAGCACAACGGAGATGACTAGCGAAAGTTAGTGTTGGCCAATAACAGGTCGTTTCTGTGCAAATCATCATTATCTGACGGCAAACTTAGTGACCTCTCGTTAGCTACCCGAGTGACTCCTTTATGCTTAGACACTCGAACTTTAAATTCAAATTTCCGGTTGAAGTACTTTCTTGAGAAGACTATTAAACTGGTGGTGGGATTCATCCTTGATTATATTCGAGCTAGGTAGTAGATGTGGATATTAAAACTTTCCAAAGACAGCCAAAACTATTTGTTGTCTTATCTACATTAGTTCTTGAATGCCTATGGAGGTCCGTTCAGTTGACACACAAATGTTTCGAAGGGATAAATCATAATCCATCTACAGTGGTAGTGTTTCAAATTTTAGCAAGTCACTGGATTAAATTCGTCTAATCAGGACAAAATTTCGTCTACAAGTGAGCTGTTGTGTGAGTTGTAAGATAGACGTGAACACAGGGAGTAAACAACAGAACAGAAAAGTAGAACAAGATAAAACATTATATTTAAGTGAGCAATAATAATTTCCAAGTTAGTGGTGAAGCAGGAAAGTAAGCCAATTTCTTTATAGCTGTTCACTGTCATATTGGTGAGAATGCTGAGACACTGCTCGGCCATCCAGACCAAAGCAAGTGATCTTTCTACGAGGCCACTCCTCAAACCGTTATTTGAAGGTCTAATCCAAAGACAGAGAAGCAATACCAAGAGTTGCCACCCCATAGCAGCAAGTGGCTAAGAATAAATTCATACACCATTCAATCACCCTGGATACTGGAG